ACCATTCCCCACTCCCCTGTCCCCTTGTCCTCCCCACAATTCTCCATTCCCCCTGTCCCCTCGTCCCCCCCCCATCCCCAACTCCCTCATCCTCCCTACCATTCCCCACTCCCTAGTCCAATGCATTCTCAAATGATCTGATGTTCCCATCACTGAAATATAAGAAAAACTTTAAAAAACAAAATGAAAAACAATAAAAAAATATAAAAATAAACTATATTCATGACATGAATGGTATGGTAAACAACACAGCTCAATTCCAGCGCAATGTCACAAAAAAATTATATCAAAATGAAAATAAATCGAAATCTGTGAAAATTTCATTTATCAATGAAATCGGAAACATTGAAATGAAATTGTAACATATTTAGTATAGTGTGTGTGTTGCTCCTACGTGCAACAGATGGAGCTGTTTAAAAAAAAATTACCTGTCACAGGTGTGGCATCTATACTTATACTCATGAAATGAACGGTATGGTAAACAACACAGCTTAGTTCTAATGCAATGTCACACAAAATAATTAAATAAAAAGTCAAATAAATCGAAATCTATGAGAATTCAATCTGTCAATGCAATTTGAAACATTGAAATTTAATCGTAACATATTTAGTATAGCGTGTGTTGCTTCTACGTGCAACAGATGGTGCTGTTTATTTAAAAAAGAATGTTTTTACCTGTCACAGGTGTAGCATCTATACATAGTAAACAACACAACTCAATTCCAACACAATATCAAAGAAAATAATTAGATCAAAATTAAAATAAATCTAAATCCATGAAAATTCAATTTGTCATTGCAATCGGAAACATTGAAATGGAATCATAACATATGTAGTATAGCGTGTCTTGGTCTTATGTGCAACAGATGACGCTGTTTCTTAAAAAAAACAACAGGTTTTTACCTGCCACAGGTGTTGCATTTATATAGGAGGTATATGAAAACACACAGGTTTTTGAATGGAACCTTGTGTCAAAATTTCAAAGCAATCAGTGAAGAATTTTCAGAGATTACAGAGTGTGTTGCTCTTACGTCTGACAGATGTCGCTATTTATCAAAAAAACATGTTTTTTCTGTCACAGGTGAGGCATGTATATAGTTGGTATATATAACATGTGCCTATTCGAATGCAACTTTGTCTCAAAATTTCAAAGCAATCAGTAAAGAGGTTTCAAAAATTTCCCTCACATGAAAACACAGTTTTAAAAAAAAAGTTTTTCCTGTCACAGACGTGCCATCTATATAGTATGTATATGAAAACCTGCTCGGATGTGAATGGAACGTTGTGTGAAAATTTCAAAGCAATCGGTGAAGAACTTTCGGAGATTAGCGATTTTGAACAAACGAATATTTACATTTTTATTTAAATAGATAATCCAAAAGACTGATCATTTAAATAGATAGTTTAAATAGATAAACCAAAAGATAATCTCCTTTACTCAAACTTGCATCTGAAGCAATAGCACAGCCACTCAGTTTGGTACCTCAACTATCCCACATATAGCAACCAAACTCTCAAAAATTCAATTGCCATATTTTGAGAGCAAGGTTGACGAAAATTTGAACTCCTTCTGGAGAGCCTTTGATTTAATAATACATACTAAGGTTTCACTCAACAAGGCTACTAAACTTTTATATCTACAAGGCCAAATAAAAGTAGAGGACTTGCAAGTCATTGCTAACGTGTCATTAACAGATGATGATTATGACTAAGCCATACAATTGGTATATGATAAGTACAGTAGTACTAATCAAGAAAATTGAAGGTCTACAGGCCATTTAAATCAGTTGATTGACAAAGTCATCACTTGGCTAAACAGCACATCATTAATCTTAATCTGTAGCCTACAGGCCACCAAGAAACCTGAAGGCCTAAGGCCACTTAAATCAGCTGAATGACAAAGGTCATCACTTAGCTAAACAGCAAATCATTAATCTTAATCAACAGCCTACAGGCCACTTAAATCAGTTGATGGACAAATGTCATCATCACTTGCAGGCGATGAGTCACAATAACGTGGCTAGTCGTCCCTTCACCTTCTAGTGTGTGGTCTGGTCATCATCACTTATTTAAAATAACTTACCATTGAGGATTAAGACCAATCTTAATCTCACATTGCATCTGAATGGCTAAACAACCAATCACTAATCTTCAAGCATCAATCATAAAGGCTAACAGGTCATTGACAAAGTCAATCCAAATATTATCATTCATCTAAGATAACTGTCGTAATTCCATAATATAATCTTGATCACCAAATCTCATGCATTCACTGAAGTGAAAGCAGCCTCAGAAAATCTGAAGGCAAATCTACCATCTCACCAAGACCTACTTATTAGAAAAGGCAAAGTCAATAAATCAAAAGCAAAATGCTTCATCACGTCATGAATAATGTAAATACATGTTATTACAAATACAATTTATCTTTTATGGAAATCCTTGGAGGACTACAAGTATTACATACTTGTATGACCTATTTGCATATAATTACACATCTATAAGTAGTTCATATTTATAACAATATCATATCACAGGATTAATCAACTAAAATTTAATCCTCGGACAAAAACAAGAATATCCAAATAAGCATTCACAAATCAAGGCAACAAAAAGCATTTTCCAAAAGTGGAAATAAGGTAATGTTGGCTCATATGTTATCTCCCTAACAGTTATTAAAACTATAAGAAAATCAAGCTCCTAAAACAGATAAAACAACAGGAGCTACAAATGCACCAAGAAGTTCATTCTGTCCGAAAACACATACAATATTTCAGTGCACAGTTTATGCAGCCCATGCCAACTGAATCAATAATCAATCTAGATCACAGGCAAAGCCATAAGAAGATAATTCTTCGCCAGCTGTACAATTTTGTAAGGTACAAAGTAATGTCAATGTCTTAGAAAAAACAATTACTACTACAACATTACCAACAGCACAGCTGGACCTAATCAATCAAGGAGCTTGCATTCAAACAAGAGTACTAGATATTTAAACTTCAACTTCTGAAAAATCACACCATACAGAAACTGTAATGGTAGCCTGACTTGGCAAAGAACAGTCGCCACTTAATATCCTCCACATAATTGATGACAGATTAGTAACTGTACATAAATTGAGGGAACTTAATGCAATAGGAATAATTCCTGAACAACCAAGTCCTGATGATGTCTGTACATACAACCAGTAGTTAGAAACTATACAGTACCATGATGGGTAAGGTTACCTTGGAAACTTAACCATAAAACCTTACCGACAAACTATCATATGGCGTATAGTAAATTTAAATCACTCTTAGCCAAGCTAAAACGAAAAAAAAGCTGGAGCATTTACACCAATGAGATTATTATATTACTATGAAATTATTGCTCGACAGTTACAGAATAAATTCATCGATGCTGTGAAATGTGACAATAAGCTAACAGGCCATTTTTTACTTCATATGGCTGTAATTAGACAATAAAAAACAACTCCTTTACAGATAGTTTTTAATTGTACTTCTAAATCTGGACCCCAAGCAACCAGTCTAAATGATTCCTACAAATAGGTCCAACTTAACTCAGAAATTGTATGGCATACTACTGAAATTTAGACTTAACAAATATGCATATACAGCTGACATAAGTAAATAGTCCTGTTGTGACTTATAGATTTTCTTCAGTCCTGGTTGGAGCAACATTTAGCAAATTCCTGTTTCAAGCAACTCTAGAAATTCACCTGCAAAAATCATTCAGTCCTAATAAGGCTGAAATCAGTCATAATCTATATATAGATAATTTTCAAGGGACAGTTAACAGTACAACTGTACTGTTACGAATATATCAAGAGGACAACAAGGAACTGCATGGAGCCAACATGCCACTAAAGTCATGGGCCTCAAATAATGTGTTATGACCACACATACACCAGTATGATCATGCTGTGACTAGTGTATGCTGAGTTCATACTGTATAGTAATATCCAGGTCAATTAGCCTGGTATCACAATATTGTTGTATCTATATTATCTCTTTTGACCATACTCTAGTATATATTACGTATTGACTTTGTATGTTTGATATACCTATACATATTATGTATCAGTACCAAATGTATACTCTAAGTATATTTGGAGATATTTGAAGTAGAGTATATAGTAGAAGCCTAATGTCCTGTATCTTGAAAGATACCATGGTGCCTATAGTATGAAGTTCTATGTACATGACATGCTATGTGTATTACAATGTAGAACATATATATTTGGATACCTGATGTAATTAACTATTGCGTATACTATGATATAAATTAAATTGCTGTTCATTGCATTGGCCTCTTGTCATGTTAGTAACTTATATTCTGGTATTGTGAGAATTATTCCACAAAGGCAAGGTTTTGGTACTTATGTTGGTATATGATGCTTTACTTTTATTCATGCATTATTATGTATTATCAGCTGACCGAGAACGTCTTGAAATCCTCCCTAAACCCCTTCCCCCTCATGGCGTACTGTCTCCAGCCAGTTATCTCCCGTCTCTCCAACTGAGTTATTTAATCTTATCATTGTATAAAAATGCAAGCTGATGTGTTGAAATGCCTGTTGGTAGATTGTTGATCTCCAATCAACAACTCCATACACCCTTAAATACCTGCCCTTTATACCCTAATGTCCTTAGGACAAGAAGAATAGGATTTACAACCCTAGCTAAGGACTTTCAGTTGTATTATTTTTACATACAGTAATTTTTAATTTAGTACAGTTCAAGTCCTACTAGTAATTCAAGTAGTTTTCCTCATAAATCAATCCTGACATTTTTTCCACCATTTTTTTGCTACTTCAGATTACTGACGTTCCATGACTATTTAATCCATCATGTCAGCGACATGGATTTCATTAATTTATTGGTAGAACAGGGCATTAGAACAAAGCATAATACAGAAAGAACCAATGCAAACAATGATATATTTTAAAGTTTTCAATAAATCACCATATATAATAGGTATGAATAACACCCAAATGTTTTCAGGCTGGATTATACGAGAAGTGGGTTAAGGATGTACTGGAGAAGGCGAAGCAGGAGAGTCGCGGGAGACTGATGGAGTTGCAGGAGACAGCGTCCCTGAGCGCGAAGAACACTGACAGTAACCAGGCACTCACCCTCCGCCACATGCAAGGACCCTTCCTGCTCCTCGTCCTGGGCCTCGCCACCTCCTTCATCGTCCTGGTCTCCGAGCTCCTGTTTACATTATTCACCAACCTATAAGGCAACTTTTCTTTCCTGGCGACCATGAATATTCTTAACCAGTGGAAAAACAATAATTCATATTAACCTATCCTCCTGTTTAGATAGTACTTTTTGTAACTATGTGTACCATACTTCAAACATTGACGTATTAAGCAATTAGATAGTAGAATTTTGTGCTATTCTTTTCACAGTGCCCTGTTAAAATTAAATTAAAAAAAAATTAAATATTCCTTGGCATAGTATCGCACACATATGTACTATATTAGGCCTCAGATAGATGTATTAGACCTAGGATGGTTAGGTTAAGCTAGTTTTGTTGGTTTTTGCAACATAAGTAGAAAATCGTTTTAAGGTTTGTCGAAATACAATATTTCCGAGTTCTCCTTTCTAATTGCGTTGTATGTTGGTTAAAGTTATATGGTCGTCCTTATTCTTCCTATAAGTACTAACATAACAGAAGGATGGGCTATTCATGTAGATTTCAGTGTACTGGTTTCCAGCTTTCTATAATCTTGACCTTAACAACCAAGGAGACGTTGTTCAGAGTGAAAAATGAAGCCTCACTAATATAATTTGATCACTGCGACTCCCCTGATGTTAGGTTCATAATAACTAGGGCCGTCCTCATCAACAGTGACCAAATACTTGTCAATCCAGCCGCCAAACAATGTGATCCCGAAGGAAAATACTTTACATATGACTCACAACTGATTTCATTCAAACTTTTCCTGAACCTTGCGCTGCCCTCTTCTCATATTCCAACTGCACCCTAGGAATGGCGCCTTATCGGGTGCTGGAATTCTAAATAATTTCCTAAAGGTTCTAAATAATTTACCTAACCTCATCCTAACTATATACAAATTCCTAAAAGTAATGATATTAATATAATGAAAAAATATAGAATTGTAATACAAAGTACAGACATATTTATAATTGAATGTTCAATGTCGGCCTCAGCATGGACAAGCATAACCTGAGGATAGGTTGTATTGTGCATTTTGCAAATTGATAACTTTATTTGTTGTTGCTGTGTTATAGCACTGATGAAACTGAGATCTTTCAAAAAATAAAGAATGTTGCACGCTACAGACCTGCTGTACTTTTCCTTATAAATTTTCCAAATACAAGCCAGGTGACTGTTCTTCAAGTAACACACCAGGTAACTGTCACTCACAGTAACACACCAGATGATTATCCCTCACAGTAACATACCAGGCGACTATTCTTCAGAGTAACACATCATGTGACTGTCCCTCACAGTAACACACCAGGTGACTGTCCCTCACAGTAACACACCAGGAGACTGTCCGTCACAGTAACACTCCAGATGACTGTGCCTCACAGTAACATACCAGGTGATTTCCTTTCACAGTAACACATCTGTTAGTCTTTTCTAACTCACAGTAACGTTTCCTCACTCACAGTAACAAACCAGGTGATTGCCCTTCACAGTAACACACTTGTTAGTCTTTTCTAACTCACAGTAACGTTTCCTCACTCACAGTAACAAACCAGGTGATTGCCCTTCACAGTAACACACTTGTTAGTCTTTTCTAACTCACAGTAACGTTTCCTCACTCACAGTAACAAACCAGGTGATTGCCCTTAACAGTAACACACCTGTTAGTCTTTAAATTCTATGTCGATTGGTGTCCAGCCAATCCTTTGGCCAGTGAGCCTCATAACGTCATTCCTCAGAGCCGCAGAGGAAGCCGTATTTCTAGTAAGCCAATCAGTACCTCACAGACTTAGCTCAGAGCAAGACCTCAGGACCCAGGTGTGCTGAATATTTGTTCCACCACAACTAATAAAGCTAAGAAGTATAGTCTGTGTATCTCTCCAAACCCAAGCAAGATCTTTACAGAATGAATATAAACAAGAAGCAATACCAAAACAGGACGCAATGCTGGTGTGCAGCGTGGGACAGATACAAATTTTCTTAGCCAGAACTCCATGTGCCTCTCACTACGCCACAGCAAGCTCAAGCCATCTGCCATAGCTACACTTGTTTTCCATCGATATTCTTACCAGGATCCAGGGTCCTACCATCAACTATTGCACTAGGTCAACATCTCAAAGTAAGGAAGGTATTTGCAACAAGAACATTATTTCATTCTGGGAGGAGGAAGAGGAGACGTCCAGCCAGACGTCCCGTCCAGCCATTTTGAATTTCAAACGTCCAGTGACGTCTCAGTCTACTTGCCCCAGATGATTTTCATGGTACTTCCTAGCTACAGTCATCGCCGCCAGGTGTCAATTCCAGCCTCTTCTGCACTGTACTGCTCACTAGATAGAATATCTGTCTACATTTCAACATTCATCAGTGCTCCTTCGTTGGTATCATCGCCTTCACCCTCCCATGACGTCACAGCAGTCCATGACGTCAGCTCAGCTTCAGGAAACCGCCGCCAGGAGTCTCACTCTCGCCTTCGGATGTAAACAATGCCGCTGGTTCAGCTTTCCTTGTCATTCTCATGTTGGTCTCAGTTGTTCTGAGTATACTCGGAGCTAAGTAAACTACAACTGGTGTTCATTGTGGCACACATTAAAGTTGGTTTACAGAGAAATATACCTGGGGCCGGATTCAGGAAGGTACTTACGAAGGTTTTTCCTCTTAGCTTCGAATGTTTTCCTTCTTAGCGCCTTCATGGCGGCTACATCGGTATTCAAGTAGCTACACTAAGTGGAAAAACCTTTGTAAGTTCATTCCAGGATCTAAGTGTGGTTTCGACCACTCATAGCATTACGTAAACTGGATATAACTCAATTTTTCTCAACTACATAACACTGGCATCGGTTTTAAGATTTTGGAACATAAACAAAAGATTATAAAAATTGAATCTAGTGAAGAGGAGTCCTTCGTGTTAGTTATATATGCATTCTCTGCTTGAAACTTAAAGTAAATATGAATTTTTATGAGAGTAGAATAAGTTTTATAATAGCAAGATATTATACCCATAGTTATTAAATAAATAAACACTGGTGAACATGAAATATGAGAGAAGGTGATGAGCCCTGCCTGATGGGATCATTTACTATCACCAAATGCCCCTGTTCACCTAGTAGTAAGGGTTAGTAAGTAGTAAGCCTTAGCTATACATACCCATTTCTAATTTATTTAGTATGGTTTTATTTTGAAATTAAATCTGGGTGAGACATGAAAAATATACTGCACAAATGATGTTAGGTAAGGAGAAGGGTAAAAATGTCAAAAACTTTATTCATTGAATACTTAATACTTAATACTATAATACTTAAAGCTATAATTATGACTATATAGACTATTAAAAAAGAGAGAGGGAAGTAAGGGTCCAAGACCTCTTCCTGTTATACAATTTGGGTGTGGAACAAGTAATTATCAAAAGAAGGCACCATGCCGGGAAGGCTATGTAGCAGTAAGGCAGTGAGGTGAGGCAGCTACTTATTTGAGAAATGCTTATTTTATTTACCTTATAAGCTGAGGCAACTTATTTGAGGAATACTCAGCTGATTCCTCTACATTTAGCATGAAACAAATTTGTGTCCAAGACCTCTTCCTGTTACACAATTTGGCTGTGTGTAACCAAACTAGAAGTGCTCTACAAATCAAGGGACCCAGAATGTGGAATGACCTCCCGAATCATGTCAAAGGCTGTACCTCTCTCAACCAGTTTAAGAGTTAAACCAAGTACTGCCTAATTAACTCCATGTAACCTAACTTACCTCCTAAATGTCAACCCATGTCTTGCTATTTTTTAAACAACGCTGTTCACCAACATGTGCAATTGCTGATTTATGCTATATTAACCCCCCCTTTTTGTATTTTTTATTCCTTCTTTCAACACAATTTATACCTAATCCTGATTACTATTAAGTTTTAGTTTGTGTTTTTTCCCCCACACCTTGCCCGAAATGCTATGAGTATTAGTGGCTTTAGGTATTGTATGTACTAGCTCTGTCTATAAATCCAACATTATGTTTGTAAATCAACTGTATGTACTTTTCCTGAATAAAATGTATTTATTATTTATATTTTAATCAGTAAGTATTAAAAGAAGGCACCAAGCTGGGAAGGCTATGTAGCACCATTGTGTGTAACAATAAACCAAATTTTTTTTAACAAATAATGCACCTGTATGGTAAAATGGTAAAACAAATCCTGTCAGCTGTAAAAATATTGATGCAGTTATTTAAATGAAAAATGGAGAGTTAAAAAAGAGTTAAACCTCACAATTACATATAAAACTTCTTCACTCATAGAACCTTCAGCAGCACAACACAATGACTTAGCAAACGTTTGATCTCCAATCCAATAAATACAACCCACAAAGATTAGTGCAAAGACTACCTGATCGAACTGACTCAGATGACCCTCAAGGAACACGTAAGTCAATTACCTCATAACTCTGTCATGACGATCAGCGAAAGAAAACAGGCTTATGCCTAGGCACCATATCTCAATCATAACTCCAAAATCAAGTTCACACTCACTGATGGTTGACTTTAATACAACCCACACCTTCATAAACCTTCTAGTCTTCCAAAAAGATAACAAAAACATGCTGAAAACTTGACAACCTTTACCATGGATTTCACTTCCCAAGTGATTTCCTTCTGGTGACAAACAATCAAACAAGAGGTTTAAAGGTCTTATCATCTTGAAGATGTACAGCAGATTACCTGGGAACCATCCAAGGACAATCTGTAACCCTTCACAATTTAAACAACTAGGCGGGATAACCTTATCTCCCAACTTGAAACACACACCTGGAGCCTCGAACCTCTGCTCCTAAGTATGATTAAATCCTTCAACACCAATTTGACTCTAAAAGTCAACACAAGACTTCAGTGGAACATACATGTTGTTCACTACTCGTTCAACAAAATAAACTGGATCTAAAAATAGAGACACAGCTCTAATATGACTCACCATTTCCTCAGAAAAACTTGAGGTACAACCTACTTGAGTAAACTCTCTTTGCTCAACCACAAGGCTGGACAAAGATGTCCCACAGTCCATTACTTCAAGAGAGAATGGCTCCTGCGGAATAAAAATAGATTGCAAGAACATCCTACAGACACTCTGACTCAATTGACACAAGGACAAATACTTACTCCCCATGGAATAAGAATCACAAGCCACAAGACTCTGCAACTTAGATCCAAAAGAAACTTTAGCACCCTTAATGGTTATACATGATT